TTTAATTGTGATTACTATGCTCATGTCAAGTGTGCCAAGGCTAAGAGTACCGATGGACTCCAGAAAGGTACCAAAATAAAATTAGTATTAATGTTGTTGTTGTTTTAGTCAAGAATCAATCTACTTTACCAAATCATGTGTTGGTAAGATCTGGATTCGTTGGTTTTGGTAATATTATAATGTGGAGTAGTAGATGCATACTTGACACGTGTGTTTTTGGTAGTCACTCTGGTATTGTAGCATAACCCTTGCGTCAATATCAGCTACTCATTGAGAAATATTAATTTAATATGGTTATTAACTAGATTTATATAAATATGCAGAGCTTGTCTATTATGGAGACATTCCCAACTCGATTCGCCTGCCAATGAATAATGAACACGTGAACGTGATGCCACGTTTATTGAACGCCCTCGACATTAAAAATGTTGGTCGCTTTGCTAGTACAAGTACCGGCAGTGATGAGGGCGGGCCTACTACATATCTTGCTACTATTTGTTATGATCATAAGAGAGTATTAGACGAGCATGTTTTGATCCATCGTTATGTTTACCAAAGTGATGTCGAGCTTGTATGCAACGCTTGTGTTCAACCTATTCCATTCGGTTGGTCTTATAGTTGTGTTTATCATAATGAAACATCATCAAGAAATGACGGCCCATGCAAAGATTACTTCCTCCACAGCTGTTGCGCGTATCTTCCCGCTGTACTTAACTTCCCTCGAAAGAGGCATAAAACACTCACCCTCTCAACTTGCAAGGCAGGCGGCAAAAAGACTTCCTTCAATTTGTTCGTATGTGACAGCTGCAACTACACGTGTAACGGATTCGCCTACCTATCACAAACGGACGACGACACTTCTCTTGTTCTGGACATCGTGTGCGCCCTCATGCCCACCTCAATCGTGCACATATCCCATGGTGCGCACCATATCCTTCAATCGAAAACCTACAACCAACAACTGTGTAGCTACTGTGGCTTGGAATTAAAACCCGACAATAGCTACATATGCAACAATTGTCGTAATTTTGGGATACACCCAGCTTGCGCCCTCATTCCCAAAAGCGTAGTCTACCCCAAATTTGACCCCCACCCGCTTTCCCATTGGCATAATCTCGAAAAGGAACAGTCAATCCTTTGCGAGGTATGTGAAAATAGCATACCAATTGGGGAGTGGCACTACAATTGCGAGAAATGTCAACAGTCGTTGCACTTTAAGTGCATCCCATCAGTCGATCGACTCTCCAAGATCAAGTTTGGGTTTACTGTCCGTGTACGAGGCCATTCATGCCCCGTTGCTTGTGTACGCACGCTTTCAGTTTTTTGCTACCCGTGTGGCCATTGCGGGAAGACCATAAAGGAACACAAAGACGAAATTGCCTTTGAGTGCCCCAAGTGTTATTTTAGGATCCACAAAGAATGTTGTGCAGAAACACTCTTGTCAGATAAGGTTGAGTGGAATGGAGTTGATGTTAGAATAAGCTTTATGCGAAAACCATCGCTATATTCCAGGATCTTTCATATCTACTAATCGAGAATCAAACTAGATAGCGGAAGCGTACCTTAGGTGGATTTATAGATCCGATCACCATGGACTTGAATCACGAACACGTCCTCGATCACGAACGATGTCGGTTTTATGGCCTTCCTCAACTAAATCGCCTTATTCCTCATATAGGACCGTCATTCTCAGTTCCGATGGGGAGAAGAGAGAACTATGTTTGATTTAGTGTGTTGGGGACCATAACCAAGAGGGTCTATATATACTAATAGGGTAGGCCACCCATTATCACCTAACCCTAGTAATATTAGGTATCCACTCAATATGTCCATATCAATTTATGTAGCCCATGAACTCTACTTAATTTGGATCACTTAATTGAGTCCATTAATTAATTGAATAGCTAATATAATATAATTGTATATAATATGTTGCCCATAATTAGATTATATATAGGAAATAAAATATTTCCTAACAGTTGAATAAGTAGTCTCCCTATGTGTTGAGTTGTTGTAATAAATGGAGTTGCTTTGCAGTAATAGCTAATTTTTCTGTTATTGCATTATTTGCGAAAGTCATATGGTCCTCTGCTCAAGAAAGCAGATGATGAGGAACAAATCTAAGCTTTGTATATTATTTGCATCCAACTATAAAATAAAACTTGATTTCTATTAATACTTGAAGGAAAATATGAGTTATGCAACATATTCCATTCTTCCTTTTTTTTTTCTCTCTCTTTACATTCTCTTTCACTCTCCCTCCTCCAATCTTCATCCAGTTTCCAGAATTCATCTACAATCATTTATATATGGACTGCAATAAAGGATCTTAAATCATCATTAACCAGAAAAAAAAATATATACAAATATTCCTGTAAAAAAATTATGGATCCTAAAATGCAATGTGTACATAAAATATTCCTGTAAAAATGCTACCCTAGCCTCTATGCATTCTGAAGGGAAAGTTGTCTTATGGTTTTAGAATTTCAATACCAAACAAATAAACCCTTTTTTTTTTTATTTTTTAAAGGGTGCAACACGAGGACTTCCTAGAGGGTCACCTATCTTAGTACTACTCTCGCCCAAACAACCTTAACGTCGGAGTTCTGATGAGATCCGGAGCATTAGTACTAGTATGATCGCACCCACCAAACAAATAGACCTTGACATAAATTATTTTAAAGTTTGATATTAAGGGCTTGCTTGTTTACAAATTATTGATATTTGATTGATTTTTTTAGTTAACTGTAATTAATTTTGACAAAGTTAGTGTAGTTAGTTGTTAGTGGATTTTAAGTTTGTACTAAAATAATATTTAAAACAAAATAATTAAAATTAATTTGATGTAAAAGAAGGAAACAAATGATTGAAATTAATAGATAATCGCAATTACGTGAGTGGATGAATAGTGAATTTGTTGATGTCATGTGTAAGAATTACTATATCAATAATATTAATATTGAGAATAGTGAGGTTGAGATAAAATTGAATTAGATTTTGAGTTGAGATTGTAACCTTTGGTGATATATTTGTAAACAAGTAAAATCTAATAAGTTGTCTGGCTTTATTTTTAGTTGCTACTGTCAACATGAACTAGTGTTGATACCCGTGCCATAAGAGGCGAATCCAGAAAAAAAAAAAGTGGGAGTGGCCAAAACAGTTAATTGGAATCGGATTGTGTTTGTTCAACTTGTGATAGTTTGATCTCATATCATTCATATATTTAAATGAGTCAAACTAGTAGGACTATTCAAACTTCCTTATTAAACAAATCGACTAGATTGAAGCTTAAATATGTGGTATTCAACATGACTCGGCACGGATAACATTTCGATGGCAATTATATAAATTATAGTATCTTGTTTAGTATATTTTTGGGCATGTGGTAACCGAGGTGCCCGACTCGGGTCGTTCTCAAAGGAAGGCTATTCGGAGCTTCGTTCACTACCTAGTCGTCAAAATCACACAACCGAAAAGGTCCTAAACATTCTACTCGCAATTTGAGGGTTTGAATTTAAGCTAGATTAAACTACGAAATGAGAGCAATTGAAAGCAATTAACTAAGCACGCAAGAAGATGAGAGAAATCAAGGGGGAAAGAGAGATTTTGGTTTGCCGGAGTCTCCATGATCAATCACACGCAAATAACCGAACATTGCCATGCTAGCTAAAACCCTAGAAAGCTAAACCAAGCTCTAGCACAAAACGAGCAAGTATTTAACTCCTAATCACACTTAGTCAAGCATTCTCGATCCAAAGATCCAATCTTTTCCTCCAACCAACACAAGCACAATATCAATTTTCACGAAAGCAAATAAAGATATACGAAGTAATAAGGCTTAAGACTAAGTACCCACTCTTGCACGCACTTGGAAGAAGAAACGGAGTCAAAAGCTCGAAACTTTACTTGAAACAATGTCGCCGGAAATTCGCCGGAAAACTTGATTCATAAAGCTCCAAACCAAAATATAAAACAAAAAAGAGAAAATAGAGAGGAATTCCCAACTTAAAAGTTGGGAAATGAGAGTTGTATCCCCAAAATACAAAGAAAAAAACATATTTATAGTCTCCTACAAAAACACACACTAGGTGCACACACATTTAAAAATTCAGCACTCGCTAGGTAGCGAACTAGTTCGCTAGGCGAACTGGTCTTGTAGTTGTGCACACTCGCTAGGCGGCGAACTCATTCGCTATGCGGACTGGCCCTATGAGTCTCTCGCTATGCGGCGAATACGTTCGCTAGGCGAACTAGACTTTCGGCATGGTAATGACTCGATAATGGCTCGGGGGTTCTCGAAATGGTTCATGCTCTCGGAACTTGGCTCGATTCTTCTCTTTCATCTTCGAAAATGGACCTAAAAATTGCACCAAAAACAGGAGAAAGTACGCCAAAATACAAATAACAAAGAGAAAATAAAAACACACGGAATCAACTAAAATGGACCGGTTAGACAAGAAAACCAACCTAAAACCGACTCAACTACACACATAAAACACATAAAAAGAAGCACAAAAACACAATAAACATATCTCTCTCACACACAAACATATCTGTAGGCGTAAAATTGCATTTTAAAATGGATAAAATAATTAATAAGTTGCACTATGAATTTTAAAATAGATAAAATAATTAATAAGTTGCACTATAAAATACATAACTTCTTAATTTTAGTAGTTTAAATGCTCAACATTCTTTACACTCACGAAACTCATTGATTATTGGCTCGATATTAACACAAGTGCTATAATTGGTAGGCTATCTAATTGTTAGACAGATATATTTTCTTACTAAAAAAGCATTGTGGTTTTGAAAAAATGTCATACTTTTATTTTAAAAATATGACATTCAAGTATGCGGTTTTGCTATGAAGTCAATAGTTGACTCCATAGTGGAGCCAACTTTCTATATACAACAAATAGACCTACATATTAATAAAATTATATTAGTGTTATTTAAGTAATCAAATAATATGGTAGGTTTACTTGTTATATAGAGAAGGTTGGCTCATTATGGAGCTAACTGTTGGCTTCATAGTAAAACCGGTCAAGTATGAAAGTATAAATATATTTGTTGGAAGAGTGTTGTCTAACTATTAAATAGCTAAGAGAATGTCTATTGTCGTATTAATAGTTCAAACAACTATATTTTGAACCATTGAATTGCATATGTTGAATGTTCTATTCCAAATTTATTCTCTAATTATTTAATTGTACTTTAGATCAAACACAATATTATAAAATATTGTTAAAAGGGTACCTACAAAATATGATGTAGTTAAAACTAATTAGTAAATAGATACACTATTTACAATAATTATGGAAATAAGTATACATTGAATATGTTTGTTAAATTTTTAATCTATAATATATATATATATATATATATATATATATTAAAAATTAAAAGCCTTATAATATACATACATATATATTAAGCAAAAGTCTAGGGGGACAATTCCGTCACTGCGTGCGATGCACGGGGTGTAATAAGAAAAATAATATTTATTTAAATATTATAAAATTATTTAAGAAAATTTTGAAATACTTAATTTATATCAATTTAATGATAATTTTATTTTAAAATTTTTCAAATAATCCTGCATTTCTTTGGGTTTGATATTAGAAAAATTAAAGTATTTTTATCCAATCACACTGTTAAACGGATTGATTCATTTCCTTTGATAGATAAATCACAAATTTCAAAAAATTCCAGACTACCCACGGGGTCAGAGCTACTACCGTGTGTTCTGGCACACCTAGCTAGGTGTGCCAGGGCAATAATAAATGAATTTGTTATATAATAAAATGAACATGTTCATTTTAAATGAACATGTTGATTTTATTATGTAACATGTAATGAATATGTTCATTTTATTATGTAACATGTTCATTTTATCATTACACTAGTACAACACTCGTGTATTACACGGGTGCTTGCTAATTTTTTTTTTCTTAAAATCTAAAATTAATGAGAAACAGTAGTTTGAAATTTAAATACTTTTTATAAAAATATATATATTATTATATATTTATTTTGACACTTTTTATTTGTGCAACTTACTTGTGTTATATTATACTAATTTTTTTTTTTTAACTTACAATATATAACTACATTACATATAAATATATCAATTGAGAAATAATTTTATTTTTCTAATGAATTTTAATAAATATTATTATTTTTTATTATTATAAGGATAAATATAATTTATGTATTTCATATATACAATATGGAAGTCAAATCGAAAATCATCAAAAGATGATTAATTTGATATATTATATATGTAAAACCGATAACAAATAC